GAGAATCGATCATCGCGTATACGCCCTTATGCATGCTCACTGTCGAACTGCATTTTTCTACAGAAGACGGCATTACAATCCGGACACGGTATACACGCTAACTTCAGTTTACTCACCGTGTGAGTCGATCGTACTCACTTTCGTCCGATGTATCGAGTTATCAAAAACTGAGTAAACGAGAAATGTCAAACTGAGTAAAAGCCACTCAGTCAGCAAAATCCTGGACTTTGAAAAAATGTTAACAATGTTGGAGGAAACGTCCTAGAAAACGGGTGCATGTTTCACTCAAAACGGGCGGAAATTCCTTCAGGTAAGTAGAAATTGCTTAGGGCAATGGTGTTGAACCATTTTCTGCTCCGGTCGAACACGCATTTCCTTAAATAAAATCAAAACAAAAACCCCCCACAACTGAAAATATCGCTGAGTGGATTCGAATCAGTCTACGTGAGAACGTAGTTTACTCAAAAGAGAGTCAACATAAGGATGCTCAATTTTGAGTAGCCCTACTTGCCGCTGAGATGAGTACATTCAACTCAATTTTGAGTTGACCAGAATAAGCGTGTAAGCTTTTTTAATAGAAACTAAGCTATCGATGCAGCCTCTGGTGGTGAATACGAGAACGTCAAAAAGAGTGTTCTGAGCAGAAATTTCTGCCGTGAGGCATAGGGAATGGAACACTTTTTCACTATTCCTGGTAAATTGATTCATATATGCTCCAAAACTCTCTAGTTGAAAAATTAAATTCTGTATCGTTTTTGCAAAAATCCTGCTGGTGTTCAGCAACATTTTTGATGAAAAAAAATGGAAAATTAGAATAATTCCTTGGTGGTTATGATCTTCCGGATTTCTTGTGTGTGAATAGTTGAGGTACAAATCAGTTTAGATCTGTGGAAAATCTTGAAATAATTGGCAAGATGTTTAATGAAAAATCCTTATTCTGATGTAAACAAACGGTTTGGTTGACGTTTCCTCTCGAACTCGCGTGGCGCACTCTATGTTGGTAGTGCATGAAAAAGGCATATTTACAGGTTTTGACGTAGCTCTGGTCGAGCATGGAATACCACTAATGCTGGAGGCAAATGTATTCCGAATCTTAAAAGATCTTCGTGGAATTTCTTCGATAAGATCAACCAAAAATCGATAAACAACAATTCTCGATTACTTTTTCGAAGCGATATATTAGCATTTTTAAACGTTTGGTTTGGCATAACTGGTAGCTCGTGCACACATACGAACACCACTATCAGGTAGGGGAAAAAATCCGGTAATCCTGTTCACCTTCGAGAGCATGTTTACCGTCGATTCCGTATCAAATTCCAGAACCGACGGTAAATAGTTCTCTTCCGGTAAAAGACGTGGCCGACGAGCACAAGAACGTGTATATGACCAACCATCCTGCTAGCGTTATGGTGTTTGAATTGGTGGCTTCCGATGGCAAAAAAAATGGACCCGGTGTTCATTCCAGAAGGCGACAAGGTCAACACTGAGGTCTACATCGGGATTTTAAGTAAGTATGTTCTTCCGTGGATCAAAGAATAGTACGGTACGAAGCCAAATATTGTATTTCAACAAGATGGGCTCCGTGCCACACCTCGAACCGCACTCAGAAGTGGTTGTAGGAACATCTTCCGTTCTGGGCGAAGGATATGTGGTCGGAAGCATGTGGAAGCCGTAATTGCAGCAAGTGGAAACTTGATCGATGATTAACATAGTTTAAGACTCGAAAACGAAATTTTTGAGATTTTTTTTAATTTTGACATTGCTCAATGGTGCAAATATTATCACGCATACGGTATGTCTGATTTTGCCTTATCAGTCTAATACTCTAGTTTAGAACGACAAGTTCATTATTCGTCCCAAAGTTTCAGCACGTTCCTTCTTCAGAGGAAACTGGTTGGAAGTGAATTTATTAGAATGTTCTAAACTGGAGTATTAGACTAATAAGCCGAAATCAGTCATAGTTTGAACTTCTACAGTCGTCGATTGTACTCCACCAGTCAACAAATGTAAAACATCATGTAAGTGACAAGTGTGCTAGTCACGCTAACTTGAAATATCCCATTAATGGATAAAAGAAGACCCATTTTTAAGAAAAGTGGCTTAACTCATTAATGAGTAATGCTTTTACGCTTTAAATGAGTTACTGTTATCCATTATTAGATGCTTTTCATAAAAATAAAACATCATCCATTTGAATTCTCGCTTCGAAAATAGCGATGATGAAAATAAGAGTGATGACTACATGGGGAATTTGGTTCAAATTCAAGACTAGACTAGTGGCATTCGATTTTCTGGATTTTTTTTTTAGCATAAGAGGAATTTGACGGCATAAATGGGATTCTGCGACCCGCTTTTTTGACATCACCAAAACATGTCAATAAGTAGCTTTACTAAAACTTCGAAAGCAATTGCATGACCACAAAATGGTTTGACTTATTTGACTGAATTCATTCAGTGTTCTGCAACGACTAATGTGATTTTTCAGCCTGCCTACGGCGACATACACCAAGGAAAATTAAATGTTGTTGTAGCGCCAAACGCTAATAAAAGTGCACTTTTATGTTAAATCGTTTCAATGTCTTCTGCGCCCTTTTTCCTTGGTTCATAACGAAAAGGTGCGCAGAAGACACCAAGAAGATACGACGTTAAATAGCACTTTTATTAGCAATTCCGCAATTTTGAGGAACCCAGTTAGAAATGCAAAATACATTATCAGCTCTGTTTAGAAGATCGGTGCACAGAGAAAAAAAATACCCTTAATTTAAGTTCTTTTTACTTAACATTGGGTAATATTGAGTTTTGCATCCCACTCTCACTTTTTGTTGTTGTCAAAAACGGAACGAGAGATTCGACTTTCTCATGACTATCGTTCAATATACTACTAATTTTGGGTAATTTATCGGTTCCGTGTGAAATATCGGGTCTACACGCTTAGTTTGAAGTACTCATTACTGGATAAAATTGCACCCATTTTCAAGAAAAGTAGCTTAACTCATAAATGGGTAACATTGTTACCCATTTAATGAGTATCTGCTACCCATTAATAAGTAACTGTTACCCATTAAATGGCAATGATGGGAAACAGTTACTCATTAAATGGGTAAACATATCACCAATTATCGAGTCGAGTCTTTTTCTTCAAAATGGGTGAAACTTTATTCATTAATGGGTACTTTCAAGCTGGCAAACCAATATTAAAAAAAAAAAACTTGCATATTTCCGACGATTCAACTGCTTAATTTAACCTTTTTCAAGGATCATGTTTGGGTCTGCCTAATTTCAAAACAAAAATGTTTAACAAGAAATGTTAAACAAAAGGCCAAAGCTATAGAGCAGACTAAAGATGGTCCTTTTAAAAGGCATAAATAAGCAGCAAAGAAAATCCTTAAAATCATCTCCAACAATCATGTCAGTAGCAAAAATCCATAAGGACCTAGCTCGAAACGTCAACAATGACTTATATCGTCCATTTCTCACGACTCACTGCTCCACCACGCAAAAAAACACCACCTGGTAGAGCAAACTCTGCCCTATAAAATGACATAGTTAATGTGCGTGGATGTGTTGACATTCGTGAGCAATTGACGTTTGATTGAGGACCTTATGTCATGTTGCTATAGTTTCAAAAGCTAACTTAAGTGAACACAAATTCCAGCTTTGTGGAAACTAAACCTAACCATCCCGACTCATTTGTGACTTGGCGAAACTTTTTCGATTCTCGGACCACCCTTCTCCCTTCGCAAATGCGGACGAAACATATGAACTGAACGTATGGGGAAAAAAACGAAGAAGAAATAGTTTTAGTACTAGGTTAGGCCGACTAAGTATGGACCGTGAGTGCCGGTTTTTGTTGATCGGCGCAAATTTCTCCCTCATAATAGTCCGATTAATTACAACTTTCCCGTAGTTGATTGTTCGCTGTCAGGTTTCTATTGGTTGTCTGTTTTGTTTGCTTTTGTTTTTTTGCACACAACAATATATGTTTGTAGGTTTAACTCTCTGTATATTGGTACAATGTGATCAAATTGTTCGCTGGCTGTTTCCCGCTGAGAGGAAACGAACAACGGAGTTTTAGTTTTCTTGATATTTGATTTTCAAACACTGAACTAAAAACTTACGTTAGGAAAAAAGAACTCAACAATTTTTTTTTTTAAATAACTCAAGAAAAATTGAACTTACGTGCAGTCATTTGATTTGCGTACGCTGGGGGGGTTTTTTTTTTGTTCTTACGAGATTGGAAAATATATTTAAACTTAAGGGAAACATTTTCGCTGCAGTTTTGGCCTGCTTGAGACGCAACAACAGCGAATTCTTGGGTGATTTTTTATATCAGTGTGGCCTGTGTAGAAGTGTACTGGTGGTTGTGGTGGTGGAAGTAGAGGTGATGGTGGTGGTGGTGGTGGTGGCTTATCAGTGGTAGCCGTGGAAGTGTGATACACTTAGAAAAGTTTGGAACCAAAAACATTAAAACACAGAGGTGTTTGTGTGTTTGGGGTAGAAAAAAAACTGTTCGATAAGTTGATCGATCGACTCGGGGAAGTGTGTTTTGGAAAATACTTGCACTGATTAATTGTGCAGATTTGTGATGACACTTTTAAGTTTCTTAAAAGAAATAAAGTGTGGTGGTTGTGATGTTGATTGTAGTAAAAGGTTAACCTAAAAGTAGAGGAAATAAATAGTGTTTAATCCTATTGGACATTTTACAATCTCCAGTGGGATTATTATTGAAATTAAAACGAAGTCAGAACCGAAATTCCAACCACAAAAACGTAACAAAATAAAAGAACACTTTGATTGAAGACAGATCAAAACGAAAAGACAGAATGCTTCACTTGAAACGAAACAAAGGAAAGATGACAGATTGAATGGGAAATATACAGATCAAGAAAATGGGAGAGAGAGAGAGATAATGGAAGAGAAACAGTAGTAGATGTGTTTTTCAGTTACTCTCGAGAGAAGGAAAATAAAAGAAAGAAATTTGCTTTTTAATGATGGGGTACCTGTGGTAAGGTTAATTTCGGTCGCCCTCTGCCTGTGACCCAGTACTCTAAATTGTGGTAGTTCTACTTCGCTGCTCATTCCGACACTACTTAGGCCGTCTTTCCAGAAGTACCGGATATCTCGCATAGTGTAACCGACTCCAGGGTTTTGCAAAATCGGTTCGGTTTTTAGAGTGTTTAAGGTTAGGTTTTTTGGAAGGTTTAGTTGGTTTATGAGGTTGGCAAAACGAACATTTGGGTTCGTTTCAGATCGGTCGGATTTAGATATCGCGTATGTTTCGCATTTTGGCCGTTTTGATTGTGGGTGTTGCACACATACATATAGATGTAGGATTCGAGGTCGGTTATCGTTCGTTTAGTTTTTGCGATTGATTTTTGGCAATGTGTGTGGTTTGATTCGAATGAGATTCGTGGGAAAATGAAAGAAAATGAAAATTATTAAAAATGGTTCAACTGGCGGAGACTCATAATTATATGCAAAACATAGGTATATAGGTCCGACTATTTCGTGACAATCGTAAAATGAACTATTCGCAAGAGAATAAGCTTAGCATACATTCATTTCTTAAGTATTCGGCTTTCGGTTATGCGGGGGCATCATGTTTTCATCTAGAAAAATAAAATATCACATTCTCGGATGCTTGGTGTGGTAATAAGAAGGTTATCAAAGCTTGTTTTCAGTGTTTGCCTTTGTTGAGAAAATATTCCATAAGTTTTTTTTTTTTGGTTATTTGAATGGAAGTTCAAGTTCAAGAGAGGATAAATACACACACATAACGATAAATGAGACAAAGTTTGTTCAGACATAAGAAAACGGAAAAATTGAAATGAACATAAACAAAACACGAAAAAATTATCCTAGCACGAAACAGGAAATATTCGAAAAGAAAGAGAAACCAAAATTAGGGAAGATGAAAAACTGTTACCAACATTGCTATTGTCAAATTCATACAGGTTTCATACGCTTCTTTTAGTTTTAATTTTTCAGTGATGCAAAACTTCAACGCAAAATTGATGTATTAATCAAAAAATAATGTAAATTTTGCATTGCAATTTTCTAGCTAAGGAAACAGTATGAAAAAGTTTCATAGCGCCAAATTCGATGTATTTCAGGTAACAATTAAAAGAAACGAAAAGTAAGAGAGGACAGTACACAACGGAAAAGAGTCCAAAAATAAAAGAAATAGAGGAAATCAAAGAAAAAGCGTATTTTAATTTTGGAAAAACCATGCAAAGTTCGATTTGATGTCAGCAAATGTATTTTTAAACTTATTAAACTTAAATGCAAAAATTATACGTTCCATAACATAAATAACGAAATGAAATAAACTGTATTCTGCAATGTAAAAATTCTTCTGAGTATGAGTTGCTCGGGTTGTATTTAATAAATGCGCTCCTGTTTGATATTCTTTCTAACGAAAAAAAGAAAAGAAACGCAAACGAAAGCTTCCGAGGAAAAAAAATACAAAACCTGCTGGAAAATTCTAAAAACGAAAATTCACTAACAAAAGACATTGGAAATTCTGAAACGAAAAATTGCAAGCATACCAAGCATGTACAATATGTACACAATCAACAAAAGAGAAAACATCTAATTATAGCAAAAACCAAAGAAATGTCACCCGGGAAAAAAGAACAACCAAAATCTGTGTTTTTTTTTAACTATTCTCATAAATCGATTTGAGTGAGAAAACAGAATCTCGCATGCACATACATACACTTTTTCTACTGTCGCTTTTGATGTAGGCGAAATGGATGATTTGGTTTATTTGATGGAATGCCTAGTATAGAAATTTAGCCAACTGCTTGCTTTTTCACTGCCCCTATCGAACCTAATCGGTCCGAAATCGATAACTTAATCTATTGCATGAGGGAAGATAGGACCAATCAGAGTTTACCACTAGGGAGCAACATTTCTGGCAACACAGCCCAGCAAGCACGCTTCAGTAACAGTCAAGTTGTTTGAACTATTAAGCTCGATCAACGATTGGAAAGGGTCTATCAGCTTTCAAATATATTGCTTTGCAAGCCATTTCGTCGCACAGCGTGACTTACGCTTTGCGAGAAAAAGACTTACAAAGTTTTGTTTAGCTGACAATTAGCTTTTCAATTGTTGGTCGAGTAATGGGAGCCAATGAAAACAAAGGAGGCGTTGTTCGGTTGTGAGATTCGATTGGCTCGCTTGAAACTTCTTCTCTCTTGTTCGTATGGGTCCGAGTCCGTCGGCTAAAGTCCGACCCACAATGCATCCGGAGTATAGTCGCTATATTTATTGGCGTTGACGGCACTGTCGAAAAATTTGCTCTTCCAGCAAATGTAGACAGTTTCTTATGAGAATTTTCGATGGAGTGAAAGGATAGTACGAAGTCCGCCATGTTTCACGCACAGTCTGACGTTTGCTTATGGATTTTCTCATAGGAGTAAAGAGCTACAGAGTCACCATCAACGCCAATAGTCTGGCGGAACCAATTCAATATACTATAGACCCACAATTGAAAAGGTACTATGAACGTTTATAAACAATCCGTTGATTATTCTTTGCTCGCCAATTGAACGCAAATTACCGGCATCATCGGATAGGGGAAACTTTCCTCAACCTAAAGGTGGTGTTAGTTTGCGTAGGCGAGCCTTGAGTCACGAGAAAAAGGTTTCCGAAGTTTTGTTGGCTGCTGAAGCTGAAGTGCTCTTTTCTGTTGTTGGTCGTGATTTGCTCGATTGGTTCCGCTATTTGACAACTCAATTGGTTCCCGAGATTCTATCCGCCAGACTATGAATATAGTGACTATAATCCGGAGGTGATACGTTCCGGCAAAGTGACAGCTAAATCTATTGTCTAACTGTCGGATCAGCTCCGGATGCATTGTGCGTGGCTCTTAACAATCGGATATGAAAGTGGATGGGGATGAGCCGATCATGCACAATGGGACGAAACGATGGAAAACATGTAAAGTGGTGCGTGTGTGTATGTGTGTGGGCGTGTCAAATGATGAAAGAAATCGAAATTCAGTTCTACTTTTTGCGACTGAACTTTTTCCTTCTTGACGATTGTGATGCTTCGTTTGTGTAGTGTAGACAACCGTTTTTGTATTGTTTTACATATGAGAAGTGTATTTTTAATGTTTATATGATTAGGATGTGAGTTGAATGCATTTTTCAATACTGTTCATACAAAATTCGTTAATTGGAAATAAACAAAGTAGAAACTGCAAAAGCCGTGCTTAGAAAATAACAATTAAGCTTGCTGGATTAGGCAGATAAACAGAAAGTGTACAACTTGAAGAATCTTTAATTGACTAACTTCATTTTTAACTATTGCTCAGTATTTCCTCGTTAATCCGACATTCTTAAAATCGAAATTTGATTATCTGATGTTGCCGTGATGAAAAATACGGAAACGCCATTTATAGACGAACATTTCAAACGGTCCAATCTGATTTGATCGATTCTCTACAGTGACTTTCTCTATTGCTATGCACACAGATTTTGTGCTACTGTTTCCACATAGAAACAAATAAAAGAGGTTCTTAGTTAGCGTTAAAAACATCGAACACAACAGGGAATGATTTTGCAGCTGAAATATTAATGAAAGAGAAAGTCAATGATGAGATTCGATCATAGTAGATGGAACCTTTTGAGATGTTCATCAAGATTTAGAATAAGCTGTTATTTTAAAATCTGACACCTATTAGGCCATAAATTTTTCAACAGAAAAGAAACTGAATTGACTAAATAGGCAACATATCATCCATTTGACACGTTGTCTGATAGATTGGAATGACAATCGATAGTTACAATTTGGAGGCGTCTTTTCCAATTAAGTATCTTTAATCAACAACAAACAGGAGCTAATGTCGTACAGAGCACTTCCGGCAATGAGAATTTATCATCCGCTGTTCATATCGTTAAAATGCAACATGTAATTCTGACATCACACTGCTTTTTGCCTAAGAGAAGAGGTGACAATACGGGGTCGAAAATGAACCACTTTTCTGTCAAACGTGAACCAGCTCCTGATTGGCCGATTTCATGTGCGTAAGATAGAGATAGAGACAGATAAAGATAGAGATAGAGATAGAAATAAAAGAGGAATAAGCCAATTGTCACCTCTTCCTCTTAGCTTTTTGCATAAGTACAGCGAAAGAATGAAAGAGATGACAAATTCACATTGTTGGACTAGTCTTGTACACGGTAAGAAAGAAGTACCCAACGGCCTTTTGACTAGTTTGTCTTCTTTTCTCCTTCTAATGTTGTCAAAAACGGAGGAGCAAAAACCACCCAACAGGGGTAGTAAAGTGTGGGAACACAACGTTGCGTATAATCATGTTTACCTACTTTAGGATACAACTAACCTACGTTTAGAAAGCTAGTAGAAAATTCCATACGAATTGCACATAAGTAAATGAAAACTAATTTGACCCGCTTTACCTACTTTTGGGTTCCTGCACTATAGTGCCGAGATGAGTGCAAAGAGCTTTCTTTTGGGTAATTTTTTCTTACCGTGTACGCTATTAAGCAGCAATAGAGGTTTCATTACACACTTACTTGAAAGTACCCAATAATGAATTAATTTTCACCACTACAACTTTACCAAACCCCGAACATACCAGGTGAAAGATTCAGAGGAAACTGTTCAACCAGCTGGATCTCGGTGGTCCCCTTACATTTTATTTTTTTCTATAACTGGCTCATCTATGTCTAACCCAATCATCTAGATCAAGCGTATTGAAAATTTGTGATTAGGATCCGTTTAGGGGGCTGGTAGAGCGACAATGGTATATATTAGGTTTAGGAAAAGTGCGAACCCCACTATACAAATTTAACTACCTATTATGCATCAGATATGCAAAATATGACTCCAGTAGCCATCCCCAGAACTTCTATAAACTTCATCATCATCCTTAAAAACACAAATTATCAATTGGCTTAAGCTAGATTAGTTGGACGAGACATTGATGAATACATAGTAAAGTAAATCCATATAATGAGTTAAGCCGGTATTCCTTGAAAAGGTTGAAATTTGACTCAATAATGGGAGAGTTCAACTTAGAGTGCAGCTAGTTAATTTCATAAACGGCCGTTGAAAACAAACCCAAACTGATTAAAACTGAATAATTTTCAAATAAAGGCAGATATTTTTT